CAGCCTTGGAAACCCTGTTCAGAGTCGCTATGAGTCAGAATCAACTCTACGTTACTTAACACTATTAATCAATTTCACTATTATATTGAGGCATGCCTGGGTGTGCAAACAGTCAACATGCTCAGCTGCTAAACAGAAGGCTGGAGAATCGAGTCTGCCCAGTGGCCCCTTGGAAGAAAGGCATGGCAATGTGCTGCTCAGAAATCTGCTGCTGGGAACTATGGGGCACAACTGTACGCTGACATGTGTGCAGCAACAGGCATGAGGTTTGTTTATTGTTTTCCTAATAAGATAATGCACTGGTCTGATAGGTCAGTGGTTCAAACTCACCCGCCGCACCTCAAAAACCCTATCCAGGGTCACTGTGAGTCAGAACCTACTCGACAACACTAAACGATGACTATCATTAGTTAAATCAATGAGTTGACGGATATCAAAGTGCCCAGCATAGGCCTCGGGGGCTGTCAGTCCCTTTCCCATCTCCTGATGTGTCCACTGGCTGACCCACCCCAATTAGGCATCGCCTGGGTTCATATTGACACACAAAGGGGCCAGCTGTGACCTCTGAACTCCTCTCACCGAGGATCAAGACTGCTTTCCACCCTGACCATCCGCTCCAAGAACCACACTCATAATCTCCTTCGACACCAAAAGCAGTTGGCTCTGCCTGGCCTTTGCCCCCGTCTCACTGGTTTCCGGTATTTCCCAGGTCTGACAGACATCTCAGTACCTACAGCATGGACAGGGTGCTGAAAGACCTGGGTGAGCCAGGGGCTGATGCTGGGTACCAGGCAACCGCAGGAGCGTAGGTGATGGCCTGGGACTCAAACAGGAGGATGGGCTGCCAGTGAGGTAGGTTTTCAGGTTTCCCAGCCGGGCTGGGAGCTGGCAAGGTTGCCCAAGATGGTAGTGATGGCGGCAGAAGGAAATGGAGCCTGGATAGGGGTGTGGGGGTTGCTGGGGGTGGCTTTTACAGAACTTCAGAACTTGCTGCTGGGTTGGAGGGAGGGCTTTCCCCACTTGGATCCAGGGTGACCAGGTGACCAGAACTTGGTCACATCCATGAGATATGGCCTATGCCTTTCAGCTACTGTCTTTACATAAAGCAGACCCAGAACCAGCCCTGGTGCCCTCCCTCCGCCCCACAATACTCCTGGTAGCTGCTGGTGAGGTGTTTGTGAACATCCCTGTAGAATTTCCTAGGCTTCTCCAGATGAGGAGCCCTAGTGGCACAGTGCTTAAGCGCTCGACTGCTAACCAAAAGGTCCGCAGTTAGAACCCTCCTGTAGCGCTGAAGATGTGGCCATCAGCAACCATAAAGACAGTCTTGTAAACAAAGTAAGTTTGTTCAGTTCGAATCCACCAGCCGCTCCGCGGGACAGTGATGCAGCTTTCTACTCCTGTAAAGATTTACAGCCTCTGAAACCCTGTACAGGGTGGCTACAGGTCAGAACCCACTTGAAGGCACACAACCACCACCTACCACTACTCCGCCCTATTGGATTAATGGAGATGAGGCCATGAACGGAAGTGGGTCCCAGTTTGAGCTCCTTTCTGTGATGAGCCAGGTGCTCAGGGAGAAGGGAAATAAGGTGAATGGGATGGGCACAGAACCAGGCTCTGTTCACTAAGGACCCTAATGGCACAGTGGTTAGCCACTTGATTGCCAACCAAAAGCCCTAGGGAAGAAAACGAACCTCTGTGAGGCCCATCCTAGACTGACAATGGTGATTCAGTGTTGGAATTCTTGTCTTCCATGCAGGAGACCCTGGTTCAATTCTCCACCACTGTGCCTCATGTCTTTGGAGGCTTCTGTTGCCATGGTACTGAATGGATTTCAGCAGAGCATCCAGACTAACACTAGGAGGAAAGGCCTGGTGAACTATCAAAAATCACCCAGTGAAAACACCCTAGGAATTGCAATGGTCTGATATGCACCGTGAGCATGGCCCAGGACTGGGCAGCCTTCCCTTCCACTGTGCATGGGGTCAGCGTGAAGCACTGACTCAAAGGACGCTAACATCATAACAGATTGACACTCTGGAAGTTCCTGTCATTATCACCACATTTAACTATTAAGCACTGTCAAGTCGGTTCTGACCCATAGCAACCCTGTGTAGAGTTTCCAAGGAGTGGCTGGTGAGCTTGAACCACCGACCTTGTAGTTCAAACTGACCTTGCAGCCCAGCACATAAACCTGCAGTGCCACACCAGGGCTCAATCACCATAGTACAGATGAGGAAACCAAGGCTCAGAAGAGCGCAAAGGACAAAGGGTGGTGACTTAAACCCAGGTCTTTGGGAATCTGCACCCCAAATCTGGAGGCAGCTCACCCCAAGCCCCTCCAGCTGGGGGCAGCCCCCGGTGCTCCATGTGGATTTTCACTTCCAGCCCCCACTGCACAGGCTGCCAGCAGGGAGCCTCCTCCTTCTGGCAGGGTAGGGCCTGGCCTCAGGACTCGCGCCTGGGGCTGGGGGCCAAGAGTTAACAGGAAGAGTGCTCACAGAGTGTGAGAGCAAAAGGACATGTCAAATCAATCATATTTAAACAAAAGCCTCTCCCGCCCAAGGGCCCTTTTAAAAGCTGCTTATTTAATTAAAAGTCCCATTTTCCATATTTATGGCCCTTATTCAGTTAAATATTAACCGCTGGGGCCAGGGCGGGTGTGTGCTTTGGAGAGCAGCGTGTAGCCGCGTGTTCATTACCATGGCCGGGATTTATCAGGTGGCTGCCGGGCGGTGTGGATCAATGGAGCCTCACCCAGGACAAACACGCAGATGCCCGAGTGGGCGGGCCAGACCCCTCTCTCTGTGACTCAGTACATCTCTGGCTCTCTCTCCTACACCCAGTCTCTGAGGCTCAGCCTTTTGTCCACAGAAGCAGAGATGGGAAAAGAAAGGTGCAGAGAGATAGACTGTGAGAGAGTCAGACGCAGGGATAGGCAATAGTGGGTGGCCTCTCCTGTCAGATGAGTCTGGGTCTGGACCAGTCACATAATTGGCAGGGCCCAATGCAACATCAAAAGGTGGGGTTTCCTATTAAAAAATGTGGAGAAATGGCTTAAGGGATCATGTATGACACACAGGTCTCACACCCTGCTTTCTGTCGACCTATGTGAGTGTGTAGGAGTGTATATGAATGGCTGGCAGTGTTAGTGTAGTGTTTTTTGGGTGTGTGTGAGTATACTGTGTTTGGTATGTGAATCTGTGCAGGGCACTGTGTCCAGAAAGGCTGAGGTCCCGGGCATAGGATGTGGGGAAGGCCCCTGTCCACCCACTCATTGCTCTTTCTGATCCCTCCTCACTGAGGAAAGTGGAGAAAGTAGTGCCAGTGGAGTGTTTGACCCCACAAGCTCAGGGTCTAAGACGCCTTGGAAAGGGACTACCTGGCACCATGCTAAGACACATCTCTGCAGAATGCTCACAGCATCTTTCCCGGCCCCCCAGTGACATGCTGTGCACTCACTCACACACGTTCACCCAATTGACAGATGGGGAGACTGAGGCTCCTCGAGGTTCGGGATCAAGCCTGGGACACACAGCTACTAGGAGCAGAACTGGCGTCTGGCACGCATGTCTCCTGATGCCCAGCTACACAACAGAAACCACATACCGTGCCGCCTGGTCTGAGGGTCCTCCATGAGCCTCAGTTTCCCCACATGTGAAATGGGAGTGAACACCCAGTTGTGGATTCGCTCCTTGTCCCTCCCCTGCCCTCCTATGAGCTCTGCCCTGTGTTCCTCAGCCCCTAGCACTGGCCCCTGGCTGGCCAGCTCCTGTCAACAAGCACAGCTTGTTGGCCCCATCCCTGTCTACTCACTCTCAGGGGCAGGACTTCCCCCACCCCCATGATGGGGAGCAGTGTGGTGAAAGAAGAGCCCCTTAAAGGCCAGAGTCCTAAATTCAAATCCCACCTCTGCCTCTGAGGAGCTCTGTGACCTCGGCTCACAAGCTCTTGGAGCCTCAGTGATCCTGTCCACTGAGAGCTGTTGGGAGGACTCAGCACCATGGCCCACCCTGCATCAGCCAACCCTTACCTCATGCCGACTGTCCCAGTAGTGCCTGTCCCCATCCTGATGCTGGCCCAGCTGGGAAGACTTGGGTTCAAGTCCTAGAGTAGGCCACTCCTCCTCCTGGAGCCTCAGTTCACCATCTGTGGGGTGAGAGGATGGGGGCATTCAGACAATCTCTCCAGGCCAATTGCAAGCCTCTGTAGCAAACAGGAGGAAGAATTTCAACTGAATGTCTAAGTTTGTGTTCAGGGAGGGCCGTGGAAAGACCAGTCCTCTGGAGTTGTCTGTTAGGTGCAGAAGACAGTCTAGGGAGGTAGCTCTTACACACACACACACCTGCACCACATATGCACACCTGCATCACACACAAGCCTGCATCACATGCACACACTTGCACCACACAACCTGCACCACACACACACTTGAATCACATACACACACTTGCACCACACACACACAAGTAAACACATGCATGTAGGTGCATATAGGCACATACAAGCATGCATGTGAACACATGGCAGCACATGCACACAGGCATACACACACACGCAGGACACCATCCAACCCCCTTGGACCTGCTCTGTTCCTCATTTAGGGCTTTTCAGAATTGGGTTCCTCCCACCACTCTCCCCTCCCCGCAAAGGAAAAAAATCTGAAAACCCAGATTAGAACTTCACACACGCATCGCCGGGGAAAATCTATGTCTCATTTTCATATCTCACAAAATAAAATGACACCAGGACACTCCAGCAAACCCCTGGAGGGGGAATGTGTCTGCAGAAGACGCAGGGGGAGGGGGGAGACACCTTTCCCAAAGGGGGAGGTCCCAGGGCCAGCAACACGGGTGGGGTTGCCAGGCCTGGGAGAGTCCGGGGTGACAGCCACCAGGCCCTAGTCTACTGGGGTCCTGGGGAGAGTTTGGGGGGCTGAATGGAAGTGAGAGAGGAGGGCCACAATCCCAGGGCTGGTGGTGTAAGCGAGGAAGCAGGAGAGAGAGGGAGAGACACCAGGTTATCAGAGAAGTGTGAAGACAATAATACAATCTGACATTTCTGAAACAAGACCCCCCGGTTGCCATGGCAACGTCTCATGTGGGAGCAGCTCCCAGGAGACGGCTCCGAGATGTACTATAAATGATGTTTGATTAGAATTTAAATCATTTAGGCAGAGAGAAGATAGGCCTTTTGTCAGCAAGGGGACCTGGGGGTGGGGAGGGAGGGGGCTAGGGGCGGCAGTGGGGGAGGGGGCACAGCCAGGGACCTCGGGCCTCAGCTCTGCAAGCCAGGGCGTGGGGAGTGGGGTCAGAGGTCAGCCAGGGGGTTGATTACTTTTGCCCTCGGCTTCATTCCCGTTTACAGTAACCTTTCTGTGGTGGCTGCAGGGACGAGGAGGGCAGGAGAGGGGAGGCCTTGGGGGACCAGGGCGTGGGAGGGGACTAAGTGAGAGTGACAGAGACACTGAATGAGCACAGGGGGCCAAGAGATGGCGAGAGAGTCTGCTGAAGAGAGGGGAGCGTGAGACAGAAATGAAGTGAGGCAGACAGACAGACAGAGATGGTGAGGGAGACTCAGAGACTGAGAGAGAGACTGAAAGATAAAGGGAGCCCGAGAGAGTCTGAGAGACAGAGACCCAGGCAGAGACATTAGAGTCAAAGCCAGCATCTCTGTGACTAAGACAGACAGACAGACAAAGAAAGTAGAATCAGGTGCTCAGACCAGAGTCCTGCATGGTTTGGTGGTCCTGGAGACAG